CACTGAGAACCTTGGTGGGAGGGCTCTGCTGCCAACTCCGGGGGTGCTGTCTGTGTAGTGATGGGTGGTGCTCCACTCAGGGACGCTGTGCCATTGACCCCCTGACCCAGACAGTTCAAGGAGAAAAGGAGCCTTGCATGGCGCTTGCGGGACAGTCCTCTCTCCCAGCTCCGGCCACCAGCCGGAGGTCCTGGGCCGCACACGGCTCTGCTGGGTTCACAGCGTCCCGTGGCTCCGAGACCCCAGCGCGAACCAGCCAGTCTTCTCCTGGGCCAGGTCCAGCTCCCGCAGGCGGATGTGCACCTCTCCGAGGAGCACGTTCTCCCAGAAGCCCTGCTCGCTCAGCACGCTCAGCTGCAGCTCCCGCTGCTGCAGGTCCCCCTTGGGGATCCCGTCATAGACCAGCTGCAAACCAGAGTTGGCAGAGGAGAAGGAAGAGTGAGCGAGGCGAGGTGCACCGCCCCAGGCCAAAGCCGCTGCGACTCCCCACCCTGCAGCGCCCCAGGGAACCCAGGCTGCCGCGAATCCACAGGTACCAGGGTCCAAGTCCAGCCCGGGACCAGCAGGCTCCCTCTCCCCGCGGGAAAGGCCCAACGCCCCACTCTGACATCCTAACCGAAGGGTCAGATAGCTTATTAGGCAGGCCACCGTGGTTGGTGGTGCACGCCTGCACGCAGGAGGCTGAGGCAAGAGGACTGCAGTGAGTTCAAGGCCAGCCTAAACTACCTTTTTTTTTTTTTTTTTAAAGGAAGCTTTTTATGTAAAGGGACAGACAGTAAATAGCTTTAGCTTTATGAGTAGTCTAGTGTACAAGTACTCAAGCCTACTGCTGCAATACGAAAGTAGCCAGACAATTCCCAAGAAGTATGGCAGGCACATTGCAATACAACCTATGTATGTAAATTGTACTGGGAATGGGTCCCACAACCTTCACCCGGAGATATATCCCCAGCCCTTTTTTATTTTGAGGCAGGGTCTTGCTAAGTTGTCCATGCTGGGCTCAAACTTACAACCAACCCTCCTGCATCAGCCTCCCAGAGAACAAATACGACTTTATTCAAGAGAACAGGCATGGTGTGCCAACTCCTGCCCTGTGCCACTGCCCCCACACACCATCTCATTGTAGGTAGGGTTGCAGGTTTTCCGGGCCACTTTGGTTTTCCTCTTAGTGGTTTTCTGAGGGTCAGGAAGGAGGTAAATCTTTACATAGGGGTCAGGGTCATTCCCATCCTGGAGCAGCTGCTGGAACAAAAACAACAATAGAAAGATAAAGATTCTTCTTTCAGTACTGGGAATTGAATGCAGGACCCTCACAGACTTAAATCCCAGCCCTTATTTTTTTTAATTTTAATTTTTTAGCTGCACATTTTGCTTTTTTAAACATTTTTCGTTTGGTACCGGGGATGGAACTCGGACCTTGTGCCTGTGAAGCAGGTGGCAGCAGCAATGCGCTAAGTCCCCAGCGCTATTTTTTTATTTTGAGATAGGATCTTGCTAAGTCACTAAGTTGCCTGGGTGAGCTGGAACTGGTGATTCTCCTGCCTCAGCCTCCCAGATGTGAGACTACAGACCTGCACCACCACAACCAGCTGAAGGTTTTTGTCTTTCCTTTTTTTTTTTTTTTTTTTTTTTTTTTTTTTTTTTTTTTTTTATAGGTCTCACTAGGTAGTTCAGACTGACCTGGAACTCACTATGTAGTCCAGGCTGGTCTCGAACTCACAGCGATCCTCCTGCCTCAGCCTCTCTAGTGCTGAGATTACAGGTATGTGCCACCACGCCAGGCTTTGTCTGTTTCTTTATCCTCAGTCCTGATTTGCACTCCTCTCCCACATTGGTTTCTGGCAATGCATACTATTTATCTGCTTCCCAACTTATTCCACTCTGATTTAAAAAAATACTACGATCACGTTAGGCGTCCTATTAAAGCATTACTCAGTGTGGGGTGAGATGGCTTTGTAATCCCAGCATTGTGGGGGGACCAAGTCAGGAGGACCAATTCAGACCCAGCCTGGGCAACTTAGTGACGCAGTAAGAATGGTCTCAGAATAAAAACTTAACAATGCAGGGCTGGGGATTTAGCTCAATGGTGCCACTGCCTGCCTTACAGGGACCTGAGTTCGATCCACAGTACCAAAAGAGAGGGGGGAAGGCACTAACTTATCAGTCAGATCCCTATTCAGGAAGGGCACGCTTCTCTGTTGTTGGTTTTTTTTTTGGCTCATCTTTTCGAAATATATTCTTTTTGTCTAAAGGCTCAGGCAGCCCATAACGTGGCCTCTGGAAAGTGAGCCATCGTATCCTCCCCCAGGCATCTTTCTGCCAAGCTCTGCTGTTATTTGGTCCGCTTAGCTCTTGTGTGGTGGAGACATGAGTCAGGTTAAGTTGCTTATTGCTTAAGGTCAGATGACCAGCGATTCACCCAGCTTGACTGCTTCTTCCAGAACTGGGAGTTGAACCCAGGGCCTGTGTGCACGTCTTCTACCACTGAGCCATCCCACAGGGCCTCAGCTTTTAAAATTTAAGCAGATCATGTCATATCTCTGCCCAATGCCCTCCAACAATTCCCACCTATCTCTTAAAAAAAATTTTTTTTTTAAAGACAGGGTCTTAGGCCTGGGATTTAGCTCAGTGGTTCTGCCACCTGCCTCGCAAGCATAAGGACCCAAGTTCAATCCCTGGTACACAAAAAAAGGGGGTCTCACTATGTAGTTCAGACTGGCCTTGAACTCACTATGTAGCCCAGCCTGGCCTCAAACTCATGGTTGATCCTCCTGCCTCAGCCTCTCAAGTGCTGGGATCACAGGCGTGCGTGACCATGCCTGGCTCAAAAAATTGTATTCATGTGGCTGCGGTACATAATGACTACATGCATCCTAGGGAGTGAGTATGGGGACATAAATCTTGATTCTGTTTTACTTCCTCTCTCCCTCTCCTCTCCTCTGACCTCTCTCTCAGAGGAGAGGGCAGAGTTCTACTGCGGCACCCAGGCCGTGGCCCGCTAGGCCCGGTCCAGCCTCACCATCTGTCCATCTGTCTGTCACTCCACCCACCCAGCCCAGGCCCGGGCACTTCCTGACAACACCCAGCAGCAGATGGCTCAGGACTTTCGCAGCACACTGCACCTCTGCCCGGGGGCCCGCTCTCCCTCTGCTCCTCAGGAGGCCTTCTTCACCGCTCTGCCACTGCCAGCCCCAGTCCCTATCCTACCCTGCGTTGTTCCTTGCCTAGCCCTGCGTACCACCTTCCCTGCAGGATGGTCTGTGTACTTGTCAGCCTTTTCCGACTAGAATGTGTGCTCCCTGAGGGCAGGGTGTGGTTTCATCTTTCCTTGCATCCACAGGCGCAGCATTTGGCCAGCGTGCAGTGTGTCTGAAAACTCTAGAGAAGGTTTACATTTTAAAAAATTACAGTAAAAGACACATTGCCACTGACGCCCCTTCAAATCTCGCCCCTCGTGTTGAACGCACTCATCCCGTAGTGCTTGCCATTTCTGAAGCTGTCCTGAAGTCCTCTTTCAGGTCTGGTTGTGCCTGTGTCGTTGTCCTGAATCTACGATGTTTACTTTTCAAAGTCATTTTGACTTCGTGGAAGAGCCGGAAGTCACATGCTTCCAGATCCGGAGAACACGGTGGATGAGGAGCCGCTGGAAGGCTGGCTTGTGTTTGTACAGGACCGCCTTCCACTGGATGGCACTCAGCGGCAGCACTCACTGCTTTTCTCATCGCGCCTTGTGAAGTCCCTCACAGACCCAACTTCCAGAACTGCTTCGAAGGTGGCAAGAACAGCGGGACGGGAAGGCTCGAAGCATAGGGCAGTATTTTCAGTGGAATTAATGGCAATGTGTTTCTTACTGTAGTAATAATTTTTAAAACTTATTTTTATTAGTACATGTTTGCAATACATAAGTGAACACGTTCATCATGGAGAGTTGGTGCTTGTATGTATCAAATCCTAATCTATGGGCTGGGGATTTAGCTCAGTGGTACCGCTGCCTGCCTCGAAAGCACAAGGACCTGAGTTCAATCCCCAGGATCCCCAAAAAATTTAATCCTGTTTACTTCCCCTCCCCACCCCTGCCACTCCAAACTGTAATGAATTTTTTTTCAAGATAAATCCCAAAGGTTTATTGTCCCAAATGCCACAGAAAATGGATCAAAATAATAACACATGAACAAGTTTTAAGTTTCCCATACACTGACATCGGTATCTATTTGACTGATCAAAAATAGTCCCTATCACTTTCTCTCAATGAAGCTTTAATAGTAACAAATCCCAGAGTTTTCTTTTTAGCTACCACTGAAAATTACACATACTGTAATCACTTCCCAAAGACATGGCTCACCAAAGTTTGACATTTAAAAATTAATATTTAGAGTGGGCTGTTGGATTTAGGCAAAAGTTGTATTAAAATATCCTGTCTCCTCAAGCATAGCGAAAAACCAAACGGTTCGCATTAACGAAGAGAAGCTTGAGACTAATTTAACGACTAAACTATGTATGAACAAAATACTCCCCTCACTGTGTCACTAGTGGAAAACCCGGACATGTAAAAGAATTTGGGTGTCACTTTATATTCCTTATGTATAGCCAACTTTTGTGAAGAACCTAGAAGGCTACAGATTATCCTTTTATAAAATCAGAGGACCTAAATTACAAGAGCCCAAACAACAGTTTAGTATCATTTAGCAAGTGGGAAATTTCCTCCCTCCAAAAAGTTAATTCTGAAAAATATGGTTAAGTTTAAAAAGTCACAAGGTGTAAACAGCAGGCCCATGGGATGTGAAAATATTATAGTTTCTTTCATTAAAAAACAGCACATTTCAGAAAACTGGATTAAAGGCTGCACAAAAAGCTATTGAACACTGATAAAAACAAAATGCTTTAGAATTGCATGGAAGCATGGAAGCTACATTTTAAATTATGAATTTTTAACGGTGCGAACATTTACCATACATTTTGATCACCTCTGGTGTTCTACAGAACTCCCTTCCTCTTCTGTTCACGCGTTCTTAGTCTGCACCAAAACTTCACAGTGCATCACGGTGCAGCAGGGTGTGAGTGGCTGCCTCATCACCGCGCCCAAGGGACAAGCCCTCTGGGCCTCCTTGTAGTAACCACCCGGTCACCCCGATCTATGGCAGCCCTACAGCCGGGCACTACATTACCCCTCTGCAGACGCCGCCAAAGCCCACAGCTCGCAGGCCCGACACCACCTCAAGCTGCGCGGTCTGAGCGCAGGCCTGGCTCCTTCGGTCCCGGGTCACTCTGCCAACACCCGGACACCCGGTGGCGAGGTGCTGGCCCCTCCAATCGTGCCGCACAGTGAAGGCTGCGTGAGCCAGCACTCACCAGGTCGCGGATGTGCATCACCATGATGAAGAGCTTGTTGTTCTTGTAGGAGACCGACAGCTTCACCTCCCCTCCCACCTTCCCCACGGGACGGGCCCAGGTGCCATCTGTAGGGGCGAAAGAAACCAAGAAAGGTCAGCAGGCGTGCGGTGCCCTGACGGTGCCAGGTTTCTCTCTGCAGCCCGTGCCCAGGCTCCGGGGACTCAAGGGCTCCACCTACGCAGGGTCTGGACAGGATGTAGGGCTGGTCGGAAGGCGCAGTGTCCGCAGTACCCACCCTCCAGGGAACTGGCCAAGAAAAGGGACGGGAGATGTCAGGAGGAGTCCTGGGTAGGGCGGGGCGGGCAGGGCTCCGAGGGAAGGTGCCGTACCTGAGGGCTTCGGGGCTGGGCTGGTGCCCGCGGCCTTCTCATCCCGGGGCAGGGGGTAGAAGAAGGTGTACACCAGGTCACACTGGAATGGAATCAGAAAGCCAGCAGGGAGAGGGAGGGCGGCTCCAGATTAAGACATTTAGAAACAGAAAACCAAATATGTGCCCTTCTGTTGGGGGGATCGCTATGAACAAAAACCCACCTATGTAAAAATATCTACTTGAGCATCAATATGGAGAAAAATGGCAATAATCTTTCAGAAAACAAGAGAGTTAGATTATTGTACTGCAAGATAGTGCATTAATTTAGTACAGATATTTAAAGTTCTAGCATATGCTTACTCTAAATGCTAAAAGGAGAAAGTCTCAGAATATAAAACTGCATGTAAGCTGTGACCACCACAAAACGATAAAAACTGTGCTTGCACATGGGCAAACAGGAAACACGGCAAAGGGAAGTCAGATGGAAGCTGGAGTAATAGGGCTTCTGATGGCTGTATTAGGGCAGTAATAATGCCATTTATTTAAAATAATCTAGCTGGACACACATGGCCAACCTGCTCATAAGCCCCTCGTCCTCAAGCGGTGCTGCCCTCCCCAGGTTCCGATGTGATTGCGCTGGGCTCCTGGCTGCCCGGGAAGGCGGGCACAGGGGACCACGCCTCACAGGCCACTCCCTCAGCGGACGCAGAAGGGCCTCCTCCTCCCCAGCGGGGACAGAGCGGGGACAGAGTGGCTACCCACCTCGGCCACCTCTGGGGCTGCGTGGATCAAGTGCCAGATGTAGCCGTTCAGTTCCTCCCTGCGCCGCTCGGCCACAGCCTCACCCCGGGAGCGGCTGATCACGAAGCGACTTGGGAAGCTGGACGGGAGGAAATGAAGCTCAGGCCCTATTTCCCAACAGCCTCCTCCCCAGGGCCCCTTGGTCCCCTTGCCTATTCCCTGGCTCCCCACTCTACACCCACGTCTGACACTCACCCTGCACACTCACACCACACACACCGCACACTTCCAAGGTCCCCAGACCAGAAGAACCAAATTGTTAGGCAGAGTCCTGTGACTCCTTAGCATTTCAACCAGGTGCACTGGAGCCCCGTTTCTCCTGTACGTGTAAGAATTCACTGGGTTGGTTTGTCCCCCCCTCCAATGGTAGAAAAACTGGGTGCAATGGCTCATGCCTATAAGCCCGGCACTCTGGGAGGCTATGGCAGAAGGATCACAAGTTCAAAGCCAGGCTGGGCAACTTAGTGACTTAGCAAGATCCTGTCTCAAAACAAAAACTGAAAAGGGGTAGGGATTGTAGCTCATTGCAAAGGCCCTGAGTTCAATGCCCAGTGCCGAGAAAAGGAAGGAAGGAAGGAAGGAGGGAGGGAAGAAGGGAGGGAGGGAGGGAGGGAAAAGAAAGAAAGCAACCAAAGTGGAAAAATATACAAGACATAAAATTGGCCATTTTAATGATTAAGTGAACAGTTCATTGGCCTTACGGACATTTACAATGTTTTTTGTATGTTTGTTTGTTTGTTTTTGAGACAGGGTCTCACTATGTAGTTGAGACTGACCCGGAACTCACTATGTAGTCCAGGCTGGTCTCAAACTCACAGCGATCCTCCCGCCTCAGCCACCAAGCTGAACTCCTATTTATTTAGAGACAAACTCTTGCTTCTCTCCCAGGCTGGCCTTGAACTTTCAGTCCTGCCTCAGCCTGCTGAGTAGCCGGATCACAAGTGTGCACCAGCTCTGGTTTAACTCTTTCATAAGCCGGACACTTCAGAAGATTTCCAGGTTCAACCAGTGGCCCTTTAGCCACAGCCAGCTTTCCTTCTGACAGGCCCAAGGCCAGAGCAAGACCGCTTGGGCGTCAGAAGAGATTGGCCAGCAGGGGGAGTACGTGTCACCAAAATCAATACCAGGCCAAGCAAAGCGGGGAGATCTTTAAAGGGGTACTTTGCCCTGCGAAAGTTCCACCAGCCCTATCCGTGCCCTCGCCTCCAGGGAGTAAAGAGGAAGCTACCTGGGCAGCAGGGAAGAAGGGAAGAGCAGCCGCAGTTTGTTGTGTAATTCCTGGAACTCCTCAAACGTCCGCTGGATGTAAATGGCCTCATGAGCATTCTCTCGCTTCACCTTCACCACGTATGTCTGCAAAGGCCCGAATCTTACAGCCCACCCCGCGCGCCCAGGGCAGGGGTAGTAGGGAACAGAAGTGCGCATGTGCACGGGGAGGGGGGCAGCTTTCCGGAAGGCAGCGCACCGGCGCGCACAGCGCATGTGCAGGAACCTGAACGCAACACTCTCCGGCGTGTGTCGCGTAGGACCCTGGACTCCGAGGGAACTGCCGTCGGGTTCCGCTCTCTGATTCTACCCAGGTCACCTGTGGCCTGGAGATGTTCGGCGCACGGGAATGCCCACAATGTGTGAAGAGACAGAACCCCAGCAAGTTGAGTCAAGAGGGAGCAGGAGAGGCAGGACAGGCTCAGGGCAGAGAAAATACTTACATAACCCTTATTGGGATGGAAGATTCTCTCGTGACGGCAGAGGAAAACATCAAAGATGCGACCAGAGCTCTTAAGAGTGTGTGTTCGAGGGGCGAAGGAAAGAGTCAGCCGGTCGTCCGAGCCTGTGAACTTCATCTGGGCCAGGTTATGGATGAAAAAGTTGAGCTTTGTGGCCACGCTGCCCAGGCTGGACTCAATCAACCTGTCAGTATGGGAGGACGATGGGAAGGAGAGGATGGAGCCACGGACAGGTCCCCTCTGCTGTGCCAAGGGCATTGCCCTGACTCCAAGGTTCACTACACGGGACCTCCCCAAGCGCTGATCAATCCAGAGGTTTGATTTGATTTATTTAATTTACTTAGAGATAGGATCTCAATATGTAACTAAAAGTGGCTTTAAAATCACTGTGTAGCCCAGGGTGGACTCAAACTCACAGTGATCCTCCTGCCTCAGCCTCCCAAGGGCTGGTATTACAAGTGTGCACCACCAGGCCCAGCTTCAGAAATTTCAATTCAAAAGTAAATTCCCAGGCGGGGGATTTAGCTTAGTGGTTCTGCCGCCTGCCTTGCAGGTGCCAGGTCCCAAGTTCAATTCCCCAGTACCAAAAAAAAAAAAAAAGTTAAGAGTTCCCTTGAAGGGGGAAAGGTCTTATCCAGCGAGCTAAAAACAATTGCAAAATCTGTATTATTCACTGTCCTGTAAAGAGTCTGGCAACAAGGTAAGAGAAACGACTATAACCTTGAGCCCAGCATGGTACAGGCCCATAATCCCAGCACTCAGGAAGCTGAGGCAGGAAGATCACTGTTTGGGGCCAGCCTAGGCTGCATACTAAGTTCAAGGCCAGCCTGAACTATGTTCAGAGACCCTGTCTCAAAAAATGAAGAGGGAGGGAAGAAGGGAGAGAAAGAGAAGAGAGAAGAGAGAGTAGAGAGAAGAGAGAAGACAATAAATAGTCCTGTATACAGAGATTAGCACCAAGATGCAGGTGGGAAACTGAGGCTGAAGGAAGCAAAATGATGTCACCAAGTCAGAGGCAGTCGCAACAACAGATCCAGCTCCAGGCTCTGCCATCTGTACTAAGCCTTTCCCACATCCCTAGCCCGCTCCAGCCACCCAGGTGGCCTGGGAATCACTCAGGGAAACTCTGCACACGCTGTTACCTAGTGAAGTAGGTTGTGGCATTGGCCTCCGTGTCCTGAGGCCTCAGGGCATCGTACACATACTTGAGGTCCTCCAGGTCAGAGAGCTCGGGGATCCCGCAGGACAACATCTGGATGGGGTAAAGGAGCAGGGAGGATGCCCGTCACAAGAGGAAGCCCTGCTTCTCCACCAAGACAAGACTTCCTACAGCAAGGCTCCCTGAGCCTTCTAGAGGGCGGCAGGCAGATGTGAGCCACGGCTGGGGGCCACAGGAATAAAGGGGCGGAAACGGGCCGGGACACCCACAAAACACCTATATCCCTCCCCAGGCAGTGGGGGCCCACCTCTATCGGGCAGACAGCTACTGCTTTGGGGCTCAGAGGAGCCGACCTCCGGGGATTCTCTGAAACTAGCCAGGGTAGCCTGCATAACGGCTCCAGGTAATAAGAGGGAGGTTTTCAGAAAAAGCTGGAGCTTCTCACCAGGCCGAGGAGGTTGAGGAAGAGGTGGGTGTGCTTGCGAATAAGGTTGTAGGCTTGGCAGCAAAGGTCCACAAAATCATGGAAGCGGCTGGAGGGCTTGTCACCCCCGTTGATAACATATGCCATGTCGGAGGTGAAGACAAAGGGGGCACGGTCCCTGGGCCAAGGGGAACACGAGGAAGAAGGTCAGCGAGGGGAAGAAGCCCACCCAGGGCTGCATCAGGCACGCTCCCCTCGGCCTTCAGCACGTGTACGGGCCTGGAGAGATGGGGCTCTAACTTACTTTCTCCCTTTAAGTTCATCTTTTTTTCAATTAAATAAATTTTTATTTAAGGAATTTCACATGCAATTCCTTCAGCGTCCATCAAGATCACCCTAATGAGGTTTCTCTGTCTTCAAGATAGCTCTTTTTAAAAGAACAGAAGCTTAATCCAGTCCTCGTATCTGCCTTGCCACAATTCTTTTATCTCCACTTGAATTATAGACAAACGATGACAGCTTCAAAACTCCTGGGATCTTAGATCCGAATTTCTTCCAGCAATTTATTTTAGGAGCACTTAGGGTAGACAGATCTGCCTTGCTCTGACACCTTCTCTAAGCACGTGTGAATTCATATTCCATTCCTAAGCTACCACACTGAGGAGTACAGATCGCTAGGATGTGCGAATATCCAAGATGAAAAGAAAAACTATCAGGTCCTTCATACTTTTGCTGTCCTGCAGAACCTTCTCCCAGGTCTAAGAAATAGACCTATGAGCGAAGCAGAACCAGAGTTACTCTGAGAGGTGTTTCCAAGAATGGGCAGCCACAGGATAGTGTCCGAGGCCAGCCTGGACTATACAGCAAGTTCAAGGCCAGTCTGAACTATGTACACAATTCCTCTCTGAAAAAATTAAAAATGCCCAGAGACAGAAGTTTTCCATCTGTGGGCCAGCAATATTCTCTCCTGGTACCCTAACTGTGTTCCTGTTTGCTGAGCCTGGGCTCATGTCACCTTGCTCAGTGCTCAGTAAGGAGAAAGGACAATCAGTCCCCACCTTCTTCTGTAAGACCCTGCAAGGACTCGATCTCCTTATCAATCTTCTCAGCTCAGGGACCATGCTCCAGGGCTGTGTCCCAGCTCTGAACCATCCCTCCTGACTTTCCTGCCCACCACACCCACATCTGGCTTCTGGAAACCACTTACCTCTTGATATTGCCAAACATCTGGGCATGGCCCAGGAAGCGGCCGAAATCTATGTGGAACATGTGGCCGGTGGTCTTCAGCATGATGTTGTCATTATGTCGGTCACAGATACCCAAAACATACGTGGCCACACAGCAGCCAGCGCAGGAATAGATGAAGTTCTCCACAGCCTGGGTCGGGGAAGACAGGGGGAGGAGAGGACATAAAGCTGGCCAAGGACACAGCCAGACTGAATTTAGTCAACCCTTATCGCCCTGTCTTGTCACCCCAACAGCACCTCACGTGTGCCTGAACATCTTTTCTCGAGTACAGATCCACACTTACATAGAGAGACATCCCATGCATTCCAGGGTAGAGGGAGACAGAAGGTTTATATGTCTATCCCCACCCTTCATCTAAACTTTGTCTTCTCCTGGAGACTGGCTGGAAAGGCTGAATCAAAAGCCCAGACATGAGTGGCCCAGATTGTGGAGGCCCTAATGATAGAAAGACCAATGTTTACAGCCTTCCCTGTGGGTCATGAGGACCCTAATTCAAGCACAGCTACTGAGCAAAAAGGACTTACGGGTGCCTTCCGGACCCTGCCTAGAAGGATCCTGCTCCAAATAAAACTCCATTCCGAGAACTCTTGGCAGCAGCTAAATGCTTATCTAATTAAATCACTGAACTCCAAAGAGCTGAGGCAGATTCACACTTCTGGGAGTGTTTTACATTTGAAAAACCTGACAAATCTAGTTGGTAAAATGTGTTAGAGATATTTTAGAGTTTAAAGGGGAAGGGCAGTAATGACGGGTTGGGTCCCCCTTATTTTGTCTGGTCAACAGCTGTATGTTTATCTGTCTTTTGAGGAAGTAAAATACATGGAATTATTCCCCCTCCACCTAATTCTTCTTTATGAAGTCTGAAGAATTCTCAAGAACTCAAGAAAGATGTATGGCAGAGAGCAACTGCCCAGTAGGAATGTATAAAGTTGAAAATGAGAGGGAAAGCAATGTATATTGCTAGGAATGTACAAAATTGGGAACAAGAAAAACCTGTCATAGCCCACCAAGAGTGTATGGAATTAGGAATGCAAGAAAGCTTGCCAGATAAAGAATGCCCACATCCTGTGCCCCCCACCTCCCTCTGCAAATTCCTACCCATTCTTTAAGGACCTTCCTTGTGTCTCACATCTTTCCAGACCTTCTGGCTTCTCCTCTATGCCCTCCACAGCCACAGCCACCACTGTCCACACAGGGCCCACATCCCCTTTTCAGCCCACCACAAACAGAGAATCCAATCTCCCAAGAGCTCCTTGGCTGTTCCACAAGACCCACTGTGAAACTAGCTACCCTCTCCCACCCAGCTACTCGTCCACTTACAACCAGATGGCTAACCCACCAGAAACTAAGAATAGGAAGTTTGTAAAGATATCACAGAATGCTCCTCCGCGTGCAGGAGAGAAATTTGTGAGTGAAAAGAAACCCGCTCGATAAGGAGCAAGACCCACCTGATCTCAGACTTGACCTCCATCTCCACAACCCTCCCGTCACAAGTGACCCTTTTTCTCAAAACGGCTGTGTGCGAGGGTTAATGACTAAACTCTTACCATCTCCCTCCATTAGGCAGGGTGCTAGCTTACTGGCAAGAAGGGGTACCTTCCCAGTTTAAGGGTTTCTTTCGTAGGATAGGGGGTAGGTACTCTCTTTGCCAAATAGGTGACCAAGAGAAAGAGATCTCGTTCTCTTAGAAGTTACCATAAAAAACTACCAGCACTGTTCTCGATACAAGAGCTGAGAAGCTATCTTTGCAAAGCTAATATTAAACATTAACATGAAAAGTTAGTCTTTAGAGGTACAAGATCCCAACAATGAATGTAACTGTACTGTATCCCTAAAATGTACCAATAAACTCAATTAAAGCTGAAAAAAAAAAAAAAGTTAGTCTGTATGAGTATATGCCTGTGGCACACACTTCTGGTACATTGATTAGGACTCTTTACTGTGTTGCCAGGGAGTAATTATAACCCCAGTGCCTCACATGATGCCTCCTTAGGGTGGAATCCAACATCTGAAAAAACACCTGTTGGTATAAACAGCATGTGACGTTTAAGAAAGGTAGAAAGAATCAATACCTTGAAGTTTACACCTACAGTGGTGGGTTTGGGGGCATGGGAGAGGGAAGAAATGGCTTTCCAAGGAAGGGACTCTTGTCTAAACACATCAAGGGCATGTAAGTAGTCCCTGTGCTGGAGCCTAGGTTAGCACAGGATGGGCAGGGGTGGTGGATGAGGCCACAGGATCAGCAGGGCTGGATTACAAAAGATTTCAGTACAATGCTAAGGACATGGGGCTGAAGAACTTAGAGCACATGAGTGACTGAATAAGCCTACATTTGTGCAGAGAGCCGAGCATGCCAGGGACTGCACCCTGGGGAACACAAGTGCATAGGGCCATTTAAGATCATCTAATTACACGTTCAATGAACAACATTCTGATTATAATTTGGTTGCCCATGTGTGCCTCTTCCCTCAGGAATACAATGCGTTGATCAATATAAATTAGTATTTGGGCCCTCTTGAAGTGAAAGCCCCATCAGTCTGCATTCTGCAGTCTTATGGTGACCTCTTCCCTCCTCTCCCCACACCTAGTGCCTGTACGATGACCACACCCATGTCCAGTCCCATTAACCCCAGGGCTGGAGGCAAGAGGTGGTGGACTGCCCCTACCATCCAGGAAAGCTCCACCTCTAATCTTTGGTCTAATCAGGAACCGGCCAGGCCTCTCCTCTCTCATTTCAGTCACATACCTACCACAGTCTCGGCTTCCAGTGACACACAGCCTTGCACAAACCAACTCCAATACCGGGTGACTGAATTCACATCCATGAAAGGAAGGAGTTGGATTAAAAGGCTCTCTAAGGTCTTCTCCCACCAACTCTCATTCTTGTTCAGTGTCCCTGAAGTCCTCTGAGAGCAGAAGAGGAACCAAGCAGGACCCATGATGGGAAGGGATACTGACAGCGTTCCAAAGCTGGCCCCCTTTGCCAAGACTGACTGGGGAAACCAGTGAACGTGCACAGGTCAGCAGAAGGCAGGACAGAGAAGCAAAAGAAGCCATTTTGAGCCATCCCGACACACGGAGGCGTCAGTCCACTGACAAGAGTAACATCTTAGCTCCAGCAAAGCTGGCCTGTCTCCCGAGACAGGCGCACACGGGCCAGCCGGACCCCGAGTCCCCAGTCCTACCTTCTCGTACTCGTCCTCGCTGGGGTTGTGCTTCTGCAGCCAGTCAGCCAGGGGCCGGTCCTTGAAGGAGCCGGTCACCCCGTGCTCCACCTGGATCTTGCGCAGGGTCTCAGCATTGGGGATCATCTCCACCATCCCTGCGACAGACACACTGGGTCACACTCTGCAGGAGAGAGACTGTAGGGACAGCCCTATGATGCTGTGCTGAAGCCAGGCATGGTGGCTGAGGCGCGTGCCTTCAATCCCAGCACTCTGGGAGGCCGAGGCAGGAAGACCCCAAGTTTGAGCCCAGCCTGGGCAACTCAGAAACTTTGCAAGACCCTGTCTCAATATAAAAAACATTAAAAAGGGCCAGGGATGCAGCTCAGTGTGAAAGCCCTGGGTTTAACCCTAGTACCGCACGAGCAGCTGTGCGCGTGCACACGAGAGTTGTGCCAACCACTTCCTGTAAGTTAAGCTTCCAGCCCTTAGACAAAGTCTAAGGAGGCGAGCACCACGGGAGACAGGAAAGTCATCCCCATCCCCCCATCACACACTCCAGACCACAATTCCCTGGTTGCCCCAGTTCATGGCTACTGTTCCTTTTTAGTTTTAAATTTGTACTATAGAAATCTTCAAATGTATATATAAGAATAAAATGGTTTCACCAATTCACATGGAACCATCATTCAGCTTCAAAAACAGCTAACACTCTGCTAATCTTGTTTCATCTGTTTCACATACTGTCAGCTCCAAAAAATTAAGTCACTCTCTAACCCAGTCCATATTCACATTTCCTTGTCACTTCAAAAATGCTTCTTCAAGCTGGGCATGGTGGTGCACACTTATAATCCCAGCCCTTGGAAGGCTGAAGCAGGAGGATCCCTGCAAGTCTGAGGCCAGCCTGGGCTACGTAGTGAGACCCTGTCTTAATACCTACCTGCCCCTCACAAAATACTTCTTTACAGTGGTTTGTTTGGATCAGGATCCAAAGTCAGGCATGGTGGTGGCCACACAACCCATTAGGCCATTACGGCTCCAAGACTGTTTTATTTTATAACACTCTCCCCTCTGCCTCATCTTTTTTTTTTGAGACAGGGTCTCGCTTTATAGTTCAGGCTGATCCTAAACTGATTATGTAGCTCAGGCTGGCCTTGAACTCACGGCAATCCTCCTGCCTCTGCCTCCTGAGTGCTGGGATTACAGATGTGAGCCACCAGACCCAGGGACCTCCTCCTCTCTGTAAATGAATTTCATAGCCTCCAATGAAATAATCCTGCCCTTTTCATTTTCATGGAGAAGTGCACGTTCATGCTGTGCATGGGCAGAAGGGCAGGACACGAAGCCTCTCCCCCAGCTGCCCACCCTTCCCTGACTCCCAGCTCACCTCTCCCCCGACCAGTGGAGAAGCAGCGGAAAATGACCATGCGCATGTCCAGCCCCTCCTGGACCCAGATCTTGCTCATGATGCGAATCATCTGCAGGGTGAGCATGTCCTGGCGAAGGTCGTCACCGCACTGGATGGAAGAAGAGAGCGACAGAACTACAGCCACTGCCTCCTCTGGCTCCCATCCCCGCATCGGCTCCCACTCCAGTGACGGGGAGAGACGGTCCCTTCTCCCGCCTTGCACCTCTGACCGGCTCACCAGCTCACATTCACTCTTCCTTCAACACAGCAACCCATCGGAACTGAGTTCAGCTTCCTCGTTTACACGCAGCCCACCTGACACTAGGCCTTTTTCAAAAGCGTATTCTCCATTTGGAAATCGCACACAGCAAATGGGTTCTATAAGCTCTACATGCTCCCCACCACTCCAACCCTGCAGTACTGGGTTTGAACTTGGAGCCTTGCGGCGCTGAAAATGTGCTACACCACAGAGCTGCATCCCCGGCCCCACCCGGGCTCATGTCTCTCTCCCTACATTATACACTGCGCCTGTCATTTACCTCTCAGACTCTAGGAGTCAGTCAGAAGGAAACATAGGGTTCACCTAGCTCAACTTGCACCTGATGTATCGATTTCTTCTTCAGCCTCCCTGCCACGTGGTCACTGAGCCTCTGCTGGAGTATGCCAGGGACAAGCAGATCACCTCTGCCTCCCGGAAAGTACTGCCGGTTGATTCTGCACTTCCTAATCTCTGTTTCTAGCCCTTGTGGCCATGCAGAAATCATCCAAATCCTTTTTACCTGCTAGTCCCTCTTATACTGCATTTGGGGGTGTACTGAGGGGGTAAAGCCCTTGCCTAGTATTAAGCACCAGTACTCCGCCAAGAAAAGAAAGAAAAGAAAAGAGAAAAATGCAGCATGGAATCACGAAATAGCAGGAAGCAAATGGTCCCAGGACCACTCCTGCCGCCCCGGGGCCCCTCCTCTGTCCCACCCCCACCTCCACGCCTGAACAAAGGGTTCTGACCTTGAAGATGACGCGAACGTTCTCACCCAGCGGGTCTACATTTTGGAAGGCGAGCTTGAGGGGGACGGCGTTGGAGTTGAAGTAGGAACAGTCCTGGGGGGTGGAGAGGGTGTGCCAGGGTCAGGGCGGTCCATGCCCAGGAAGGAAAACGACCTTTCCATGTTGGACTGCAATGCTGCCCACCTGCACGCTGGTCCCCCGCCCCGAGACCTGCTCACAGTTCCTGCCAGGTTTCTCAGGAACTCAAATTCCTTCTCACTCGCTACTGCTATCACCACGTTTCAATCTGTTAGAACCTCGGTTCTGGCACCTGATCTCTCACCCTTTCCTTTTATTCTGCACAGAATATACTAGTTTTGTGACTTCCACTAAGTTCCATGTCCATTTACAACTCAGATTACCCCTCTGTGAAATGGGGCTCCCAATACTACTGGCTTCAGAAGAGTTACGAAGAGGAGACACAGTAGTCAGCCCAAAGCACACAGACCCATCCGGAGGCGACAGCTGGGAGTCTGCACCATCACCACCTCCAGGGCTCCATCCGGTACCATCAGGAGAGACAGCCACCCAGCTCTCACCCAACCACTCCACCCTGCTCAGCTCAGCTCCACACACAGGTTAGGGCTGGGGCCATGGACTCAGGGTAGGCCTCCCTCCCTACCAGCCCTGAACAGCCAGGGCAGTGAAGACCTCCCCTCCCTGAGCCTTGTCCCCTGCAGAGCCCCAATGCCATGGCCACACACCCTAGACACGATGCCCTTCACCAGCAGGCTGGGGCTGAGCGGCAGGCGGCAGGAGCCATTGAGGGCAAAGAACTGCTTCACCTCGTCCAGGCCCGTGCGCAGGATGCCCTGCGGGGAGGAGAAGGAAAGCAGCGGTCAGGTGGGGCCCCCCGTGGGCTCCACTCAGAGCCAGGAGGACCTGAGAGCAGAGTTTAGGGACAGCCTCAAGGCACGCAGTGCCCGACACCTAGAGGCCAGGCTGAGGGCAGGACGGCAGGAGCAGGCCACAGATCTGGGAGGGCTGGTAGCGCCCAGGGACAAGAGCTGCCTGGGCTTTTGCCAGGAAATGCCAGCGATCTAGACTTTAACATAAAATCCTCCCAATTTTAAACGTCAGCAACCGGGACACTCCTGGCCCAATACGGTGCTTTTGTGTGGATGAAGCTGCCCCTCTGGCACCTTCATCAGCCTGAGCCAGGCTCAGCAGTGAAGATAGGAATCGTCCTTCCTGGCCGGACAGCTACGCACACGTTTCAGCACTATGCAGACCTCACCGAACGCATTCACATGCTGTGCCTGGCTACAGGTAGCAGAGGCACTGCCTTCCACCTCCTAAGGCAGAGCTCGTCAGTGCTCGAGGAGTAACTACTGGCCTCAGAAGCCCCAGAGCAGAAAGTGGAGCAGGCAGAATCTGCAGCCCAGCGGCGTGCTCACCTGCCGGGCAGATGGGGCGGCCTCTCGGACCTGCTGGGCCAGCTTGGCCAGGGTGTTGACAAGCCAGCACTGGCGGTTGAACTCTTCCCTCAGCCCCTTGCCGCAGCAGCACAGCAGGGCCGCCAGCAGGTACTGGTATCGGATGCTGAACTGAGAGTCCTTGAGGCCGTCCTTTAGCAACCTGCAGGGCGGGAGGTGGGAGTCAGCCCCTCCAGGGACCCCAGGCGCAGCAGAGAGGAGCAGGGTCCATGCCAGCTCCAGCTCACAGAACCCAGGCCAGCCCGGACGGGAAAAGGCACTCTGGACACACTGCACACACGCACACCCCGTCTTTAAACGGCTCAAAGCCTTCCGCAGCTCATCTCTCCTCCCGATTTCCGCCATGAGCGGGTGGGGAGGAGAGGTGGGGTGATCGTCACGGAGACTCAGGGGTGAATAAGAACCCCCAGAGGACAGAGGCCAGTTCCAGGTCACACGCGGAACCCAGGCCACTTGGCTGCACAGTCCTGCACGTGTGGGGGCAAAACCGTCCCACAGACACACGACTGCCCCCCAGCTCTCCCCACAGGCGCTTACCAGAAGAAGTAGTGCGTCACTCTCAGGTCAGAGACGGCTCGCTTCAGGAGGAAGCGCACCAAAGGGCTGTCCAGGTAGCACTCATACTTCAGGGCCTGTTTGGGAGGAAGTGAACAGGACAAAGGGTCAGAGTGTGGACCAACTCGGACCTCCGGGGCTGGGACCATCAGGACGGGAGCGAAGGCAGCGTGCCCACCTGCACCAGCTGGGGCAAGTAGTCTAGCAGCTCAGCATCAGAGAGCGAGCCTATCCACTGCACGGCCATGCGGCGCACCTCCTGGTCGGGGAAGCTGCAAAAAAGAGCCCAGAACCTGACAACCCAGCTGCGGGCTGCGGCAGGGGTGGGAAACAAGCACCTTCATACCAGGGCTTCAGGGGCACAGAGCGAGGAAAGGCAGCGTACCCCAGGATCCGCCAAGGCCTCCGCAAGAATCAGCCCCTGCTCCGAAGGGCCGTCCTGGGAAATGGTGGCATCTACCCTGGACTTAGCAGGAGCAAGAGGGTGGCCACTTGTTCTTTAGAGGACTAAAGAAAACAGCACAGCGTCCCTCACTACGCTCCTGAAGACCTCTTCCTGGACTCCCACTGTGCCAGAAACTCCCGTCATCGTCATCGAACAGTCCCCTTGGGGGTTAAAGCACTGCTGAGAGTGGCAAAGGACAAGCCAGGACTCCTGGGTACCACCGAGAAGGGCAGCCCAGGGTTCTGAGCCTGGGAGCTGAGGCCCGAGAGAACCTTCAGGGGAAAGAGGGAACAGGAGACTGTACAGTAAAGTGAGGTGATCAGGGCCCGGGGAAGAGCTACATGCCTTTGTCAAAACTGCCAATGTACAGGGAAGGTTTGGGCATTTCTTTATGTATAAAAGTTGCCTCAAAACAAAAACAAAAACAACCAACCACCATTGTGCCTTTATTAGTATACTAGAGTATTTAGGAGGGAGTTTCCTGATGTCTACAATTTATTTCAAAATGCATAAAAAGAAGCCAGGCGTGGTGGTGCACGCCTGTAATCCCAGCAGTTGGGAGGCTGAGGCAGGAGGACTGCTGTGAGTTGAGACCAGCCTGGGCTACATAGTGAGTTCCAGGTCAATCCCAGCTACATAGTGAGACCCTGTCTCAAAATACCAAAAAAAAAAAAGCATAAAAAGATAGACTGGTGGGTGGGCAGAAAGACAGACAGATGTGTGATAAAGCACACGAAGCAAAGGCACGTGCTGGCACGTATGTGGTGGGCATACAGAGGGAGCACTGCACAATTCTCAATTCTGTTGTGATGTTTGGAAAATGTTTATAACACAACCTTGGGAGAAATGAGAAAAAGCAAAAAGGAGAAGTAGAAACGCCCTGAGCAGCCACACCCACACTATTTCTCCCAGGGCCCTGTCAGAGGTGGGCAGCGCTGGCTGGGGTGGGCACAGGGGAGCACTGCGACTCACGTGGCATGCAGGAGCCCCAGGGCATCCTGGTGGTTCATGGGGGCCCACTGCTTCAGGAGCGCATAGGTGTCCGGCAGGCAAGCCCACTCCCAGCTGGGGGCGCTGGCGAGCACCAGAGGGAGTGAGCTCACCTCTGAGTGGCAGAAATACCGCTTCTCCCACAGGCGCTTCTTGTCAGCATCAGTGAGCCTGCAGGAGAGGGGGCAGAGTTGGCCGGAGGCTGAGCGTGTCCACTGAGCGCTGCCATTCAGGGGGCCCTACCTTCCTGCTCATTACAGTCACCTGAAGGGCTCAGCGACTTCCCAGTGCCCGGGCCACACCTCCTGTCAACTAAGGACGTCTACGGAAGACAGGCATTGGGTAATTTTAAAAGATCACCAGGTGATCACAATGCGAAGCAGGGTGCAAACCTAACCTCTGACCTGACGCAGGTACTCATCAGAATGGGGCAGAAGGCAGAGGCCAAGGGCGCCAAATCCGTTGCCCCTCCTGGGTCCCTGTGGGCACCACTCCCATACAGCCACCAGGGGGCAGCGCTCCCATGAGCCAGGGGCTGCACAGCTGACAGGTCTCCTGGGGCTCAGGGCAGCCGTCAGGTTTTTAGGGCAGTGGCTGACTGGCTTTGCTGAGATCAGGCGAACAACGGGAAAAGGGCGCTGAGGGGCTAATGACATGTGGGGTCTGCGATGCGGGCAGGCACTGTGGACTCAGCTCCTCTGGCCATCCTGGGGAGATGTGAGGGACAGAGATGAGCCCACCTTTCTCTTTCTCCTTCCCCAACTGGCACCGCAAAGGGCTTTGCAGGAGCGAGAGAGGCAGTCAGGGGAGCAGGCAGGGAGGAGCCCAACCACCAGCTCCTCCGCTCCCCATCTTCCTCCTGCTCCAATCCTGGGGATCACTGCAGCCCCGGGATGAGTTCAGCCTGGGCTCGCCCCCGCCAGAGATGGCAGCTTGCCTGGACACCTGATCCTTTTTGGAAAGCAACAAGGCCAGAAACATGCAAAAGCTGGTGTGGAAGGGATGAGGTGGGGGTAGGGAGGCGAGGAAGCAGCTACCCAACACAGAGTGAGAAACAGAGAGCCGACTGGGGTTGGGGCTTTGGCCCCAGCATGAGCATGGGCAGGGGCCTTCTCAGATCCACCTTCCTCACCTGCCTTCCCCACTCTGCCTAGTGTCAGCTCAGGGAGAAGGCCTCTGCCACCACCTCCTGCTCTGTGGTGATGTCTGCCCCGTCCCACCTCCTCTCCCAGAGCTCAGGGGCCAGGGGCTGGGAGGCGAGAGAAGGTCAGACAGAACGGACGGCTGACTCTCACCAGAACAGGGACTCCTTCTGCATGATCTCTCTAAGCTTGTGTTGGTCTTCTTCCCGGAGGCTGCCGAACTCATAGCGGGGGCTGAACTTGTCTCCAGGGGGGCTGATGAACTTGATGTCAAAGGCTGAGGTGGGGAAGTCAATCTAGAGGAAGGATCAGAGGGGGAGCAGACAGGAGGTCTTGTGAGTAGGCACAGCCACCTCCCTGGTTCCCCACCTTCCCTCCCCACCCCAGCATTCCCACCTATCTCCTTCCTTCCCTTTCCCCACAGGATCTTTGAAAGATAATCCAGGTGGACTTGGTGATCCCCAAAGTCCCTTCCAGCAAAAATTAATTACTTTAAAAAAGGAAACAGAGAGAAGGGGAAAAAATATGAGCAAGGGAGGTAGAGGTCGAGTCGAGCTCCTAGGTGAGGGACAAGGGTTTGGAACAGGTGTTACCAGGCTGCCCCAATGAGGTCCCAGTGTCTTCCACCTGCTGAAGCTGGGCCACACACTGGGCCTGGAACCCTAGGTCCCCTCGCTCTATGCCTCTAGAATAATGTCCTCCAAAAATGGTGTTGCAGCTGAAGGAATCTGTTCACTATAGGAGATCTGCTTTCATTTATTCAGGAAGTGCTTGATGAACCCTAAGGTACCTTATTCTAGGCCCTGGGCATAGAGCAGAGAGTAGGACACAAAAACACTCAATTCCTGGAGCCAGGGATTTAGCTCAGTGGTTCCGCAAACTGCCTCGCAAGCAAGGACTCGAGTTTGATCCCCGGTATCAAACAGAACAAACTCTTGATTCCTGGAGCATGCATCTGAACCTTTCTATTTCATTGTCTGTCACTCAGATATTCCTTATTCCATACCAAAGCATCTCATGGCCGCAAGGAAGGGGAACTGGGCACTCATAACCAGACCTGGGACCTAGCCAGATCCTTCTCCTCAGCCCCAAGAAGGGACAGCTTAGATGTGATCAGACTTGAAAGTATGAAGGCTCAACACAAGGAACTCTGAGAATCTGAGCCCTGGATGCAGGAGACCTCAGACCCTGCCTTCCGTCTCCGTGAAATCAGAGCTTACCCCAGGCGATGGGTGGCAGACACCCTCACGTGCTGGCTCTCATCAATTCACATAGCAACTTTGGTCACACTGTCACCCCGTGCCAACAGTCCCAGCATTTTCTCATCCTGTTCTAGCCCAGACCTCAGGGAGGGGGACCTTGTGCTTACTCTGGGGTTCCTTGATGGGTGGGGCAGGGTACACTGGGGTCTCACCTGCAGGATGACGCTGTCTGGCTGGTGGAAATTTGGTGCACTCCAGCGAGCGCTGGGGTTTTCCTGTGTCGCTGGCCACAGGCCCAGAAGCTTCCGGCCACAGGTCAGGACTCTGAGGCGGAAGGAGTGTGAGGTGAGCCAACACAGCCCTGGCCAATGGCGGTTTCCCTTCTGCTCCCTCAACCCAAAACTCCACCATTTTTGCTTGAAGCCACTACCTCACTCCCTTCCCTTCACTCTCCCTGCAGCCCCTGGCTTCTTCCCCCTCTGAGTCTTAGAAAAGCTCACCTCCCCCCGGGACACCCCCTGAGCAAACCTCTGCCTGGCCTGGGCGATCTGGTGGCAGGGATAAGAGGCTGGGCTCGGTGACCTCCCAGTGACAAGAACAGAGGACATATCAGCCAAGCACTGCTCTTCCATGCTCCCTTTCCGCTGTCCTGCCTGTGGCTTCTGGTCCCATCAACAGGTCTGCTCACCAAGTTCTGGCCCCTCTACTGGGGCTGGGACCCTCTGACCTCACCCATGAGCCCAACGTGGTCAACCCTCCCGGGGATATCGGCCATGACAGCAACTAGACCCCCTTCTCTGCCCTCTCGTCCCCTCCCAGAGCCGAGAGGCTGCTGCCTGGGGCTCACATACTGCCTGAAGTTGAAGAGCGGGGTGGAGACCCAGCCCAGGGCCTCGGGCACCCGCCGCTGCTTATTGGCCTCCGAAGAACTCCCAGGCGGAGGGGTGGGCACAGCATACAGGGTGGCACACAGCAGGGTCTCCCGGGGCAGCCGGTTCACTTGCACAGGGAAGCAGATCCTGTCAATGACAGGAAGTGAAGTCAGGGGGCTGCGAGGGACAGGAAGTCAAGCGGAGGCAGAGAATTTGGCCTCCCTGTCTGTATCAGCTGTTCCCTGAGGAAAGCTCCTAGGGGCAGGGAAGGTCGAACACCAGGCAGCACCTCTGCTGGATGCTCCCAGAAGCGCGGTGCAGAGTCCCAGGGCCCCGGGCTGGAGTGAAACACTCTGACTGACTGCCGGGTGCCCACAGAGAACTCTCACCAGGGCCACCTCCGTCCAGGTGGTGACACGTCTGCCCCATACTGTGAGCTGGCCTCCTTTCCTCATTCAGCAAAGCAGCTCCTTTGGTCCTGCTTTCCCACTGGACTGTCCCCATCCATCCCCCATGTCCTCCTGCTGGGAGCCACTAGGAAGCGTCTCCATGTCCCGTTCTCTGGCCTCGGTTCATCCGCCCACCTGTCTGTGTCCCTGCTCTTAGCTCGCAGGGGCACGTGATGGTCTGTTCTCATCCCCAAACTGGTTCCGAGCCACCCTGGGCTGCTCTACCAGGTGACACCCAGCCACAGCCACTCCCTCCAGTTCAGTATGAGGAGCTGCGGGTGGGGGTGGGGTGGGGAGCTCACAAGAGCCTCGAAGAAAAGAGGGAGGGCCCACGTTACCTTTCCAGGACACTGTCCCTGGGCCAAAGTCCACACTGTCCACACTGCCACACCCTCCTGGCCGGCCCAGGGCCCAGCAGTCTCCTCGCGCCGAGGCAGAGGCAGGGCCACCCTGGGGTCCTCAGTTTCAGGTAAAGCTGTCTCCCTCGGCTATGCCCCTCACGCCTCCAGGGGATTTCCACCCAAGTGAGGCACTCCTCCAGCCCAGCTCTGTCCCAGCTGCCTCTGTCTTGGGGGGCTCCTAGCTATAATTAGGGCCCCTCCAGCAGCCAGTGGACATGCCAGGCTGGGGCTTGGCTGGAGATGACACAGCACGGCTGCCGGGCCTATTTTGAGAGTGAGCTGATCCCTGCCTGCTGGAGTGGGAGAGAGGGTCAGCTGACCCCACAGCACAGGGCAGAGGGAGCTGGTCCTGAGCCCTGTCTTTTCACTAAGAAGGAAGAAGCCTCCAACATCGTGTCTGAAGGAAAAGGAGAGGGAAGACACTTTCTAGCTAAACTGTAACTCCAGGAAGGAACTGTGGCACGCTGCTGCTCAGGCTTTGGGTGAAGCTCACGTTCCAAAACCTCCCCCAGGGGGCGTCAGGATAACCACTATGTGGGCTGCAGAGCTGAGGGATTCAGGTCTGAGAAACCTTCTCCTTCAGCAACCTGAGCCTTCAGGGAGAGCTCCGGAGAGTGCCGGGTTCTGGGCCTGGCTCTGCCACTCACGACCAGGGCAGGCGAACCCTCGGAACTCACTCTCTGATCCTCAGTGCCCTCACCAGGGAGCAGGAGGGCACACGCTGCCTGCATACTACTTGCACTGTGGTCCCCGCACTGAAACCAGGCTACACCGACAGTCCTGTGTATCTGCCACTTTGTCAGTCACACGGAACAGAGAACCCGGAACTGAAACCACCAGCTAAGAAGACGAGAAGAAGAAACTGTTTTTTATGCATGAGGCACTGTGCCAAGAACTCTACTTACAGTGCTCTAACTCCTCCTCACAAATCTGCAGGGTAGGCCCTACTGTCATCTCCATTTCTAGGCTGAATGATGGCCCACAGTCACGTTAACAGTAGAAGGGTGGCGGGCCCAAATCCTGCACTCTGAACCGCATTGTGGTGCCTTCTCCCAAATCACACTGTACAGCACCTTTTCCCAAGATAGGAGCTAACAAGGCCAGAGAATCCCAAGAGTACAGTGACATTCAGGGGCCATGTAATGTAGCTACCTTCTGTCTCCAAGGAGCTTCCCTGCCCTGGCAGCTGTCTGCATGATTGGGAACTGTACACCACTAAGAGCTATCAAAGCATGAAGGATGGGAAAAGTGTCTTTGTCACCCAGTTGTCTATGAAATGACCCACCCTTTCCAGTCTCTTTTATCTACCTATATGGGCATCCTTGGCCTCCCTGAGGGGAGACAGAGAGAGACTTTCTTGGTCTCTCTAATCTTCTTTCTACATTTCTTTTTTTTCAGGGCCTCCTGCAGGCTAGGCAAGTCCTCTACCTTCAAGCTCCATCCCCAGTTCATTAATCCACACTCTAAATATGTAAACTGCACTTTCTGTTCTGCAAATGAAAATGCAGCTACAATCAGCCTGGGGAAGTGAAGGCTGGGGCAGTAAACAAGTTTTCTGACTGTCTGGAGGATGGGGAGGGTACAGCAGACAGGCATGAAACAGGCAAACGTCTGCAATGCCCCTCACCTTAATTTCCTTCTGGCTTTGCTTGACTGACGTTGACCTTCCAATCACCACATTATGATTCATACATGGTGATTAATACTAACTTGTGCTGTGCCTGCCTATTTATATCCTGCTCAGCTCATTTCGGGGCATCAACTACCCGAGTTGAACCAATGTCCCACTTCTCAGTTTCAGAAACTGAGGCCCAGAAAGGCGAGCGAGAATGGAGGATTAGAGCCAGAACTAGAGTCACTAGAACTAGAAATGGCTCCAGGTGTACATTCCTTTCTCTAGACCACCTGCCCTTCTGTATCTGTAAGGGATAAGGAAGGCACGGGCCCCTGTCTACTCCAAGGGAACTCTGCAAAGAAGGGAGAGGGTGGGAATCCCCCAGAATGGCTAAAACCTTTGAGAGACCGACCAGGTCAAAGCAACAAGGTATTATTAAAATTAACAGCCAACCTTTATCGGGAACTTTATAGATTATAAAGAGCCTTTATGAATACTTGGCTTTGCATCCTCCAAGCAACCCAAGAGGCAGAAATTATACCTGTCTGAATTCAACAGCCAGGGAAATGAAACTCGAGAGGTTGGGGCCACCTGTCTGGTCAGGTTAGGGTGGGCCCGGCCTGTATACAGCTATATGCCCTGGTCTGGGCCTCCTTAGCTGCCCCGGGAATTTCTGAGGATGAGAGGCAGGCAGGGGCCGGGCCTGGGTCCGGGGCAGGGCTTACTGCTGGTCCCAGATAATCAGGTGGAACAGGTACTTGGAGAAGTGAGCTCTTCGGGTCTGCAGGGGGCTGCACAGCTCCTTGCCACCGTGGCTGAGCGAGCAGGAGAGGTAGAAATCTTCATAGCTATAAATGGAAAGGAGCAGGTAAGAACAACCAGCCCCCCAACCGATCTTGGCCACCAGTCTTCTGCATCCTCCTAATGCCACGCTCCACTTCCCTGGCAGCACTACTTGCAGTCTCCGGAGACTGGAGCACAGGGCAAGGGGTAGACGACAGTCACGTGAGATGTGAACTCAGGGAGCAGCAGCTCAGTCTGGGGCACACACACACATGTACTCCTGAAGGAGCCAGGCTGCCTGCTGTGCACTGGGGTTTTTCTTCCTTCAGCTCCAGCCCACCAGGTGCCCACACACACACGCACATGCACGTGCATATTTCCGTGCATGTGCGCACGCGTGGCGGAGCATGGGGGAGCGTGGGGGAGGAAAATGACATATGCCGCCATGAATGCCAACACACAGGGGTCCCTGTGGCTCATGACAGGTGCCTGACAGAAGAGGTCAGAGAAGGCCCCTGTTTCCCAGGCCGGCTCCTTTGTCCTCTGCCAATCGCCCAGAGGAATACATTAAGTGAGGAACAAAGACAGAGGGAGGGGAGGAGAAGGGGCCAGAGAAAGTGGGGTGGGGCCAAGGCCCGTTCCCCAGGCCTAGGATGCTGGGGACACCCTCCTCCACCCACCTCTGCAGGCCCGGGGAACCCCAGACAAAGCCCCTGCCTTTGTGGTCTGCCGGGGAGTGCAGTCATTGGCCTGGGGCGAGCGCTCTATCTGGGAACTGGCCATCTGTCGCTCTCTACCTCAGCTGGCCTTGGATCTGGAGGGGGCAGGGAAGCCCAGCAGCCAGCACTGAGAGGAAACGGCAGGTGCTTCTCAGTGCCCTAGGGGACCTGCTCTGCACAGATGTCCCAGCCTGGAGTCCTCTCAGGTCCTCGGCTCAGACCCTCAGGCGGCCTGTGCTATCCACAATGCCACCCCTCCAACTGAGAACAGGAAGGCCACAAGCAGAGCACAAGAAGCAACAGAAGTCCAGCGCAGCTGGCTCCCCCAGAGGCTGCTGAGCACCAGCTCACCTGGTAGCCCAGGTGATGGGGATGCGGTGGGTGGCATAGACGGTGAAGGCCAGGGCCCCGGAGAAGTGGCAGGCTTCCTGGACCAGGTCATGCCTGTGGCTCCCAGGCACTGCTGTCTGGAAGTCTGCATTGAACGTGTTGCAGTACAGCTCCACCAGGTCCAAGATGGCAGCTGTCAGGGCTTCCACAACCTTCTCTGTGGAAGGAAAGCCAGAAGGGAAGCTGTGAGGTCCCTGGGAGCCAGCGTGCAATCTTGTTGCCATGGCACTGGCAGTGATGGAAGAGCCTAGGACAGTCGTCCCCAAGTGCCATTTGGTTTCTAATGGCTGTGACAAAGCTCACCCATCTGTGGTGAAATGGGAAAAAGGCAGGAATACGTCCTGAGTTTTGCAGAGCAACGATTCCTCAGTTGGTCCTCATTTTTAAGCACTGCTGCTACTTTTTAATGTCAAAATATTTCAGGAAATGATAGTAATAATAACTGTCAGGATTATTTTGTTTTTTGAAGACAGGGTCTTGATAGATAGCTCAGACTATTGAATAAACTATTGACTATATAGTTCAGACAATGGCTATGAGTTCATGGCAATCCTACTGCTTCAGCCTCCCAAGTGCTGGAGATATAGGTGTGCACCATCACACTAAGCAGTTTCTTTTTTTTACGTTATTTCTTGGCAAAGCAAAAAGCTAGCCGGGAGACGGATGTAGCTTAGTGATTGAGCACTTACCTAGCATGTATAAAGCCCAGGGTTCAATACCCAACATCACCAAAAAGATTTTAAAAAAATAAAATAAAATGCCAAATAATTCTATGTTGGCCCTCAAAATGTTTTGGGACATTGTACTGGTCCATGAAATCCCCCAAACTGGGAATCACTATAAGAATCCCAGTGATGTTGCTCAGCATAGTGGCACACACCTGAATTCCCATTACTCAGGAGGCTGAGGCAGGAAGATCTCAAGTTCAAGCCTATCCTAGACTACAAGTGAAATCTTGTCTCAAAATCAAAATGACAAGGGCTCAATGGTAGAATGCCTGCCTAGCATTACATGCAAGGCCCCAGGTTAAATCCCATAACATTCCTCCCAAAATCCCAGTGATATGAGATTTGGGGCCAAGGGGAATCCTAGAGAAATCCTAGTGACCCAGCTCACTACCTGGCCACCCCTCTCCCACCCAGCTTCCTCCACCTCGGCACCCTCTACCAGGGACACCGCGGGAATGATGCAAAAATAATGGGAAAATCATCTGTGGAAAGAAATGTGGGCTCCAGTTGCGACCACACCTCACAGGGAGGGACGAACACACACACACACACACACACGCACACACACACACGCACAGCGGGCGACTGGGACACATAAATCAAGGGGGCTGAGGAGAAAGAGGAATGTGGGCAGAGTGAGCTTTTCAGCTCTGGCTCACCTCGGTTTTCCCTCACAGTCAAGACGCTGGGATCCTGTTGGGGAGAAAGACGAGGGAGTGAGGTTCAGGGCCACAGCCTTTTCCGTCACAGCAGGAGGAAGGCTTCTCACAGCTGCACTCAGCTCAACTGGGCCAGCCGGGCTGCAACGTGAGGTTCTGCGACTCCCCGGGGAGGGTGGGGTAATGGTTTGTACCAGAGCCTGTGGTGGACAGAGTGAGCTGGCGGGGAAAGATCATCGCTGCGTCCACCCCCGGGCCACTCCTCTGAGGACCACAGCACCTGCGGCCCTGTGGCGCAGTGCACAGCCCCCACCGCGGTGCCCTGAGCCCCTCGGCTCCGGGGAGTTTCCTCCCGGGTCGGTTTTGCACCGTGATGGATAAGCAACCTGTCAGGCGATGCCTGGGTGACTGAATAAAGCCTCTGCCGCCTGGGCTCACACAGTCAGGCCCCTGGGGCAGATCTGGCACCGTGGACATCACAACTCCTGCGCTTCGATGGATTACAAATGGGCAACAGAGACAGAGAGAAGAACCAGCCACGTGGGCACCCGGGAGTCGTCCTCCTCCCTCCCCATGCGAGGCCCAGGGCCTCTTTACCTTCTGGATTTTTGGCTGCATTCGTGAGGGGCAGGGGGGCAGCTGGTTGAGTGCGCTGGTGATCTCCGGGGTTTCCACAGCAGCCAGGGCGTTGCAGATGGCCTTGACAGACTGGACCACCCTGTCGGCCTTCAGCAGGAAGTCCCCCTGTGGGAGGCCACACAGTGAGGCCTCCTGGCTCTCCTGCTCTTCAGGGAAAGAGTGGGGAGCAGCGCAGGGGCTGCCGACTGGACTGGGAGCGAAAGCCAGTGGAGTCCATGTCTTACCTCCAAACATCTCGCATCAGCCAACAACCTCGCTCTCCCAGGGGCACAGGCCGTGCCCATGCCCCCCACTCTTTCAGGCACCACCACCCTCATCCTCGTCCTCCCAGCCCCATCTGTCAGCCGCAATCCATGGTCCACTCCCATGTGGTTGCACACAGGTCTCCCCAGAATCTGCAGTTTTAAGTCAATCAACCTGCGGGGTTCGCAGGGACACCAGAGACACCATGTCAGGCTCCACTGCCCTCAGGCCAGTTCTCAGCCACACAGACCGGCTGTGCTCATATCCTCGCCTCCGCACTAGAGTGCCCTCAGATTGCGTATCTGGAGTCCTCTCCAATGTCCTCCTTGATCACCTACATCTGTCTGTCTGTCTGTGTATTTCAGTACTGAGATTTGAACTCAGGGTCTTCACACTGAGCTACATCCCCAGGCCTTTTTATGTTTTTTAATTCAAGATAAGGTCTTGCAAAATTGCCTAGGCTGGGCTCAGATTTGCAGTCCTCCTGCCTCAGTCTCCCAGAGTACTGGGATTATAGGCGTGTGCCACCATGTCTGGCTTACATTTGTCAATTTAAATTGGGAGACCAGGGGAAATCCTACCCCCTTCCTAAAGCCTACGCTGCCAACCTGACCTCTTTAGCCCCTCCAGTCGACCTTCAATGACTGACATCCTCTTCCATCTACTAAAAGCTTTAGGTTATTACTGCACTTCTCTCACCCAAGCTCCCCAAAGACTACGATAATTTTTACATTTTGCTACCCTCAGCAGCTCTAGCACAGATCCAGAACAAGGTAGAGTGGACGTTAGGGCCAGGGATTTAGCTCAGTGGCACTGCACCTGCCTCGCAAACTCAAGGTCCTGAGTTTGATTCCTGGTACCAAATAAAAAAGAATGGATGTTCAGGGAACACTCTGCTCCTAGCTGCAAAGGTTCAAGCAGAGGCCACTGGCCAAGTCCAGGGAGAACAACTGGATCGACCTGGCAGGGATTTTCTTGAGGGGTACCAGGGATCGAACTTGCATCCTTGTATTTGCAAGGCAGGTGGCAGAACCACTAAGCTAAATCCCTGGCCCAGGGCTTTTTTTTTTTTTTTTTTTT